GTAGTAGTAGTAGAGAGAGAGAGAGAGAGAGAATCGATGAAAAATTTTGGAAACTTTATGAGTTTTATTCCGATTACAAGAGAAGAAAACTTGTAAATCGATCGGAAATTCTTGGAATTTATGTAACAGATACGGCGAAACGTTGAAAAATATAGAAAATTTACGAGTTATTTTTTGCCTCTCGATAATCAACGTTGAATAATTACAGGTAGGGATGTTTTAATCCGGATCACTTGATCCTTAGTGATCCTTTGCGAGATTTGTTTTCTTTCTGTTCAGAGATAAAAAAAAAAATGGATTTTTTTTATGAAAAATATGAAGATATAAAAATATATTATAAAAGGTGATAAAAAAAATAGTATAATCTGATTCGATACAATCAAATGAATGATGGCAAATAATAATTATTACAAATAAATCGTTTTGTAAATTATTTGAAATTACTACGGTGAGTAAAGAATATATAATTTTTTTCTTCGTAAATGAATTTATGCGATAATAATTTTTTCTAAAAAAAAAATATTATAATCATAATCATATCAATCAATGTAATATTTACGTATCACGAGCTTGTAAGGTTTTTTGCACTTCTCTCGAATGTATTAGTAAATCGGTTCAAACTAATTAATGATCAAACTTGAAATTAATGAATACTTGTTTCGTGTTTTTTCTTTTTTCTTTTTTTTTTTATTAAATATCTTCATCTATGGAAAGATATGTGAGATTTTGCCCCACGATCTCAAACGTCCATGTTTAATATTAATTCAACGATTGACGAGAATCAAGTGGCTGTAACTCATTTTTAGGGCTTCTTTGCCTATACCTATCCGATCGAAGCCAGAAGAGAACCAATCCAATATCCTCTTTCTTTTTTTTTTTTTCACCCCCGAGAAAATCGTAGAAACCTTTTATTTTTATCAACTTTTTTTTATTTACTTATTTATTTATTTAATATAATAAACACAGTAAGAAACGTAATACTGATAATGGGAGTGAAATAATAATTGAAGATAAAAAAAAATAATAATATATCAATGGGATGGGTATAAAATTAAATAAGAGAAAAAAAATATGAAAAAATATTTTATACAAATTTTTTTGCTCCTTTGAATTACAAAAGTTTATACAAAAGTTAACCAAATTTCTTGTAACATATCCGTTCAAGTATATAAAGAATATTTCACAACTAAAACTTGCCATTTTCTAATTTTTCATTTCTGTGAATTATTATTTGATTATCGAATAAAATTTATTTTTTTTGAAAAAAGATTCTTTCTATCTTTATTTTCGTTTTATTGCTAAAAGAAAATAATAATAATAATAATAATAAAAAAGGAAAACTGTAAAACGTTATTAAATTCTAATTTGAGAAATTACTTTTGGCTGCGAGACAAACTAAATCTACTATTTCCTTGGACGATAATACGGTTCATTATCGTCCAAGTTTCACCGCAAACCAAAAATCCTAATCGTACCACCATTCCATCGTTCTTCCTTTATATGAATAAATATTAATAATTATATTAGTAATATTACAAACAACGTAAAAACTGAAATTTATTTATTTTATAATGATCTTTAATAATGGACTTTATTTGATTAAAAATTAAAATTCGTTTTTCAAAGTTGATCTAAAAATAACGAATTTATTAAATATTTGAAAGTATTGAATATCGAAAGATCGATTAATCCTCCATAATATGCTCGAGTCCATTGAAGAAAAGATTTCATTTATTAATATCCGAGTTATTATTGAAGAGAATCTTTTAAAAATTAGTTTAAATATTTTATTGGACAATTAAATAGAAATTTTAATAAACGTGAAAAAAGAATTCGAAACAATTAAAATGAATTTATATAGATAAAAATGTAGAGTTATTAATTTGTTTAATTTGTTTTCAATTTCAATTCGTCCCCTATTCGTTCTAATTTCATTAATTTCGAATAAATAAAAGTTCAGCTTATTCAACAAATAAGGATTAATTCTCCCAATACGAAACGATCATAATTTATTCATCATCTTCTTGTCCATTATTCAAAGTAATATATATCCAATCTCTTAATTCCAACAATTCAATTCAATATATAAAAAAAAAAAAAAAAAAAAAACGAAAGGTATTTCTTCCAATTTATAATACACATTTCGACATACGTATTGTAATCGTTTATTTATATCCATTATAAATAAACAAATAAACAAATATGTACGAATCAAACAGACCGCAAAATTTATCCAAATAATATCACGCACGATTAACGTGTAAATCGATCCCTAATAACCATTTCGATCAACGGTGTATCACGCTAATTACCAACCCTATCCAAGCTTTCCACGTGCTCTGTTTGAAAAAAGACGAGAGTCCAGTAATAACCAGAATCCAGTAGCCAGTATAATTCAAAGAAACACGCGTTCAAGTTGTCGCATTATATGAATGAAATACAAACTATCCGTAACTAAGTTTAGCCGTTCAGCCAAACAGCTGATCTCAGCCGACCTCCGAAAGTACCCTACAATAAAACCACGCGAGAGAGTGCTGCCACCCCCTCTCTCTCTCTGTCCCACTCGTTGCACGGCCGTGTTCACGGATGCAGCCTCCGAAGAACAGAGAACTTGTCCCGGTGTCGATGACCCGAATAATGGGGACGAAGAAAGAGTTGGTGGGAAAAAGAGGAAACGTTACCTGAACCGGGACGTTTGCCGCTAAACGAAACCAGATTCTTAAAAAAAAAAAAGAAAAAGAAAAAAAAAGGAAAAAGTAAGAGGAAATAAAAGAGATAGAGGGGGAAGAGAGGTTGTTTTCACAGTTTGGAATTATTCAATTTCATAGAGAATTGTTGATGATCTTCGGTGATTTTAGATGTTTATTCGTTTAAATGTATCGTATATATTGATTTCTTGATAAACGAAGGAATGTAATTTGAACGTAGGTATATTTTTTAACTTAGTATTCGTAAAGGATTATGACGTTATTTTGAATAATAATTTTTTATATTATTATTATTATTGTTATTGTATATAATATAATATAAATAAGTGTCAATTAATTGGATCAATATTTTTAAATATAATTTTTAAATATTTTATGCAATATCGATAATATTTTTGAATTAAAATTTTGGCTTTTGTTATCGAAAATTGATATTGAACGCCCTCTGAAAGATTACCAATATTTTATGTTTCAATTATTTAATATGAAGGGTTTTTAATGTTTTTAATTAAAATCTCAGTTTTAACGGACATTGATTTGTGCACGTGGTCGGTGAACACGTTAGACGATTATTAAATTAAGATTGTCAAGAATGAAAATGAAGGTCGTAGATTTGAAATATTAGAGATATATTATATGTTTCGATTGAAAATATATGCAAAAAGGATATAAAAGTCTTCTTTGTTGAAAATATTTTCTTCGCGCGCAATAACTCGTATTAATTCATCGAATATCGTAATCTTCATTTAATCTTCATTTAAATTTCATCGCGCGCATATTTATGAATGGAGAAAAATACCTTCTAAATATTTATATTTAATATTTAATAAACGTGTTCATTTCATTAAGAAGAAATACACGGTTTATTGATATAATGTTAATTACACGATGAAAAAGAAAATTAAATTGCATCGTTTACACGGTTGAAACAAAAAACTAGAAAAATTAGAAACTTTTTATGATGGAAGGAAAAATACAGGGATGTAATAAAATAGAGGAAGAAGTTTGACAGGATATCGGGAAATCCAATGCGGAGAACGCGTCCTCGATTTGGCTCGTGTTCCAACGCCAGTTGTCTGCCAGCCCACGTGAGCGTCAGTAGGTGGAAAACCGCTTCTTGCGGCCGCATTTTTAATCAGTATTCCGCGATTCCACGCTCGCGAACGTGTTATGTAATCGAGCCCCTGTAACCGTGATCTTGCATACATCCTGACGTTTTATCCACTGATCATTCCATCCACTGATCACCCGATGACGTTTTTTGTTCCCAGGTACCAGAATGAGCTTCCAAAGAAGATCAAGTCGCGCGGCAAGGACGCGCACCTCAATCACGAGGAACTGGTGCAAACGATGAAATGGAAGCAAATAGTGAGTGAATTTTTATTAATCAATATTGCACTCTGTATTTGTTTGTTCGTTTTCTTTTTTTTTTTTATTTTTCTTTTGATTTCTGCGAAATAAATTCATTCATCGAGATCCGTAAGATAAATCGTATCCTGGATGATAATTAGAATTTATTACATAATTTTGTAAAAGTGTAAAATCGAATATAAAATATTACTCGTAGTTGAAACAAATTTTTCAATTTCTTCGATCGCAGGTAACTTGTTAAAGATAGCACGATACGCCAAATTCGTGATTACTCTTAGCTAAAATGTGAATTAGACTTAAGTTAACTTTCACTAAAGTCAATTGAAGTTTTAGAAGTTTCAAAGTTTGTTTAAACAGCGCACGTACATTGTGCATAATGGACCGATTTCCAACTTATCTTAATTCTCTTTCTGCTTTTGTTACAATAAATTTTGAAATTCTGATCGTTCTTAATTGGCCGTCGTAACAAAATGAGAAAAATATCGATAACAAAAGAAAAAAAAATAATATTATATTAAATTAAACTTGCAATTATATAATACAAAGAATTAATTCTCTCTTTCTTTTCTCTTCTCTTTCTAAAATATTAAATTATCAATTTACTTTTATATTTCCCTTTCAAGTTGAGTTAACAATTTTTCTAACGTCAAATTCTTCTTTTATTATTTTCAGCGTGGGAAGTTTTATCCTCAACTGTCCTATTTAGTAAAAGTGAACACACCTCGCGCTGTGATGGCGGAAACGAAAAAGGCGTTCAAAAAACTTCCAAACCTCGAACAAGCCATTACTGCCCTCTCGAATTTAAAAGGAGTGGGCACCACGATGGCATCGGCTCTATTAGCAGCAGCATCACCAGAGAATGCACCCTTCATGGCGGACGAATGTCTGATGGCAATACCGGAAATCGAGGGCATCGATTATACCACCAAGGAGTACCTCAATTTTGTTCAGCACATTCAAAATACCGTGGAGAGGCTGAACAAACAAAGTAAGTGTTTCTGTTAATATGTTTACTCAGTCACTGTCAACCAATCATTGAACAGAATTATCTTATGAGTTTACAATTACAACTTTTGTTTCGCAATCTATTATTTTGCTATGTTTAATAAGAAACTTGTAAATTGTATTATAAATTTTTTATAAATCTTATAAACATAATTGTAATTCTTACATGAAAGAGATACATTATTCAAATGTAAATCATCAAAGTTGAATAATTATAAAGATATTAGTTTACATATTAGTTTCTTCTTTCATTATTAAAATTTATTCATTGATTCACGTGTAAAAGTTCATTCAGATTATTCGCACTGAATTAAAATCAATTTTTCGTTCTAATTTGAAATTTCTTTTTTTTTTTTTTTTCTTTTTCTTAATTCTTCTCTCTATTCGATTAAAATTTGAGCAAATTAACATAATTTGAAATAAAATCAGGAATAAATTCTTAGATATTTGTTTTGATTTATCTTTCCAAATTTTAAATGAAACTAAGAATCTTCCAGCTGTAACCTTGACTTGAATTTGTTTATCTCGATGAATTTAAATAAACAGAATTTTACTGCATTCGAATTCAAACAACTTGAGCAATCTGAATGAAGCTTAAGTATCTTCTATCTATATTCATATTGAAACATCAATTCCGTTTACCAATTACATCAGATTATATAACTCGAAATCGAATAAAGAGGTAATTCCATTGGAACTTTGAAATTCATTAATATTAAGTCATCCTTAATTAACTCTATTAAATCATCCCATAAATAATAATTTTTCCACGAGTTAAATGGTGATCTGTTTTATAAAAGAGCATTGTATCTTAGAATTTCATAAATTTCCTCGACAAATTAATTTGGAGAGAGGATTGAAAAAAATTTTTATAACTTAAAAATATTATTATTATTATTATTATTATTATTATTATTATTGTTGTTGTTGTTTACATCGAGAACGTCACTCAACGAATATATTTCCAACGATCAAAATATATTAACGAAACGCAATCCGATAACGTTTAACACGCGGTTTCGTCGTTTTGTATTATTCCAGCGTCGAACGGCAAAACATGGAGCCCTCACAGGGTGGAGCTCGCTCTGTGGACCCACTACGTGGCGTCCGAGCTGAAGCCAGAGCTGTTGGACGGCATTCCAGGCTCCACGGAGAACGGCAATTCCCATCCGCCCAGCAACGGCGAGGCGACAGAACCGTCGGACGACAGCAATCAGGAAGCGGCACTGAACGGTAAGGAACTAGGCAGTATTGATCCGGCGGCCATCGACGAGAACAGCATGACCACGTCCTTCACCGAAGACTCGATGGATAAACCAGCTACGCCGATTACAGCGGCAGTCGCCAGCGAAGATACAAACGATTCACTCGCCACGAACGACAACGACGACAGCAACAACACGCCCCGACCGACAGACAGCGAGGACACCGAAGACTCGCAGGACGTCCAGGAGCCGCCCACCAAGAAGAGTAAGAAGTGACCCACCGCCAGCCAGGGAGCCACGAATACAACAAGCAACAACGTCAGCACCCTCGTGTCGGCCGCCAATCTAACGCTGATCGCAGCGAGGCGCTTCTAAAAACCGCCAGGGTCACCGATCAGGGTCGCGGATAGTAGACCTGTAGCCTACCATCGCACCATCACGATCGTTTTTTGATGATTCTCCTTCGCTCCTGATCTCTCTCTCTCTCTCTCTTTCTATTTCTCTATCTCTCTCTTTCTCTCGCTTCCTTTCTTTCTCTCTTCCTACTCTTTCCCCATCCTCTTTCACTATTTTCCTCCTTCCCATTTGTACTTGTTCCTAATTTTTCTTCTTCTATCTTTTCCCTTTTCCCTCCTGCCCCCTCCCCCTAAGTTATTTATCCACATTAAATTTGTAAGATTCTTCTTTGTATTATCCCACTCGTCCTTTTTGGGACCGATTTTTCTTTTTCATCATGTTTTATAATCCAGTACATCTTTCTGCTCTTATCTTAGTAGACTCTCCTGCTATTGTTTGTAGAAATTTTCCTCGAGATCTCGTGTAAAATAGTGTTACTGCATATACGATGGAAAGCGGAAGTTGTTGTGTGTAAGCACCTTGCTGGTTTTTAGATTCATCGGGCTCAATTGGAGGTAAAAGAAAGAAAAAAGAAAAAAAAAAAAAAAAAAAGAAAAAAAAAGAAAGAGGTAAAAAGCTCGACCGATGTTTCGAAGATTTCCTTCTTTGTTCTTAATTTCTTTTACTTTTTCTTCCCTTTTTTTTTTCTCCTTTCTTTTTCTTTTCGTTCGTTTCACATTGGTCAATAGTGACCAAGTTTTTTTTTTTAGGTCATGAACTTGTAATTAGCATTACAAGCAACAGTTGACGTAACTTTTATACAATGTGATAATAGTAATAGTTACTTTCTTTTACGGGAGAATCGTTCACCTTTAAGACTCCGAGGAAACTTCGAATTGGCGGAGCTTTCTCACTTTTTTCTGCGGCGTGGCGTAGTTTTTAGGGAATACAATTCTCTTTTCTTTTTTCCATCCGATCGAAACGAGACGATTCCTCACGGTTACTGCCTTCTGAATAAAACCCGTTCCCTCCTCACTGCTTATCACGCGATAGCAAAACGACGTAGTCTTTAATTAAAACAGCAAGTCATCATTCCTTTTTACCATGATTTATACCGGCGTTTTTTGAAGGCCACCGAAATACGAAGGGCGATACGAAACGATGTTGACGCGTGTTTTTAACTTTTTCTTCGTTCTTTTTGTCAGAAAAAAAAAAAGAAAACAGGAAAAAAAAAAGAAAAAAAATTGAAAAACTGTGAATGGGGTGTGCGTAGCGAAT